ATGCTCCAAACAATATTAGCACAGACCTTTCTTTTCAATGAACTAAGAGAAACTAGTGGTATAACTATCTTAACTATTTTGTACATTTTTTCCTTTTCCTTTCCTTCCTTTCTACTTTTCCCCACTCTAGTTCCTCTAGAGCAGTTTCTTCCCATTTCACAATATCTATGGTACATTTTGGACCTCATTTACTCTTTCAGTTTCTCACACCAGGGAGACAATACGGTTTTTACACATGTAAGTCAGATTTATTTCACTTACGGATATGTATCAAATTGCATTCTTTTATGTATAAAAGTCTCAATTTTATCTTTCTTTATGGCTGAGTAATGTTCCATTGTATAAAAAGACCACATCTTTTTTATCCATTCCTTGGTTGATGGGCATTTGTGTTGTTTCTGAGATTTAACTTCAACAAATTGTGCTACTATAAACATGAGTGAATATATATTACTGGGGTATGATGCTTTTAATTCTTCTGGGAATATATCCAGAAGGGGAATAGCTCAGTGGAATGGGATCTCTAGTCCTAGTTTTTTGGGGAATCTCCACATTGATTTCCACAGTGGTTGCACCAGTCTGCAATCCCTCCAACAATGGAGAAAGGTTCTTTTTTTCCAAGCAGTCCTTCTAGCATTTGTTTTTGGTCGATTTCTTGATGATAGCCATTTTTGTTGGGTTGAGATGGAATCTCAGTGTTGTTTTAATTTGCATCTCTTGAATGATCAATGATGTTGAACATTTTTTCATATATTTATTTTCCACTTATATTTTTTCTTGAGAAGTGTGTAATCATCTGAAATGCCCATTTTTGGATTGGATTTTTGAATTTGGGAAGGGGGGCTGCACCCACGTTTGTAGCAGCACAGAGGCAGTAATAGCTAAATCTTGGAAACAACTCAAATAAGTATATAAAACAATGTTTAAAGTATTTAACCATTAGGGAACTACAAATAGAAACTATGTTGAGATTCCATCTCATTCCAGTCAAATTTGCTGTTATGAAGGATGCAGAAAGTAATAAATACTTGTAAGCATGTGAGAATAAAAGAACTTTTCTATGTTGCTAGCGGGAATATAAATTATTACAGCCAAATAACCACTGTGCAAATCAGTATGGACGTTCTTCAAACAACCAGAAATAGAGCTTTCATGTGACCTTGTTATACCATCCTTCAGTATATACCCAAAGGACCCGTACAGACCCGTACAGACCACCTGCATACTCCTGGTTATACCATCCTTCAGTATATACCCAAAGGACCCGTACAGACCCGTACAGACCACCTGCATACTCATGTTTATTGTGTTACACGATAGCTAAGGTGTGAAACCAACAAAGGTGTTTATCAACAAAATGGATAGAGAAGATTTTA